AACATAATCGTTATTATAAAAGTATAATGCGACTGATAAATACAATTATATTTAAATTTAGCTAAACTTAAAATTCTCTCTTTTAATAAATTAAAGGAAAACAAACAAACAAACATAATCGTTATTATAAAAGTATGATGTAGTATTAAATAATTTATGGATTTTTATTGGTGGTGAACTGATATGATAAACTGATACGGAAATATTTTATCTTAAAAGTTAAAAATACAATTGCAAAAGAATCATTTTATTCTGTAATTATTTTATAAATTATAAATGGTTTTAACTTTATTTGAAGATGATTCATTCAACTTTGTGTATAATAATTACTTAAAATATGCATGAACTTTCTTGTTTTGTTTTTCTTTCGTTTTTTTTTAAATTCAGTTTACGCAGTGATTATTTTTCATTTTTCTTATATTATGTCATTATACATTCGTTTGTCGGCTCTTTTTTAGCTTTACATCTTTGGACAGCTTGGCTCATAATTTGGTGTTTTGCTTGGTGATGTTGACGAGGATGGCATTTGGGTTGCTTTCAATCCTAGATTTTGTGCTGGTTTCAACTGTAACTTTTTGAATTAATTTCAATTATAGATTGATGTTAAAAGTAGTTTTAAGGCTAAAAATAATTAAAAGTTCTTCATTAATTATTTGTATGATAGGGAACACCAAAAATTATCAATAATTAGAGATTGTTGTGTTGGCAACATAATTTGTGACTGTTAATAGTTGTTTCATTAATTTGTAATTAATAATTATATGTTATTAAAGGTTATTTCCGTAACAATTTCCAACTCACCTTCGCAATTACCGCTGTTTGTTTCTGTTGTTGCTGCTGAGCCGGAATAACAGAAACCGTTGGTGTCAGTTGGATTTGTTTCTTCGATTGTTGAATCGGAGTGGCAGAAGATGTTGGTACCGATTGGATTTGTTTTTGTGGTTGCTGAGTGGAAGCAGCAGAAGATGTTGGTACCGATTGGATTTGTTTTTGTGGTTCCTGAGTGGAAGTTTTTGTGGTTCCAGCAGAAACCGCTAGTACCGGTTCGATTTGTTTCTTCGGTTGTTGAATCGAAGTAGCAGAAATTGTTGGTATCGGTTCTAGTTGTTTTTGCGGCTGTTGAATTGGAACAACAGATTCCATTGGTATCGATTGAACTTGTTTCTGTGGTTGCTGAGGTTGTTCACTTAGAGCAAAAGGATTTGTTGGTATTGGTTGGATTTGTTTTCTTGTTGTTGAATCGGTGCAATAAGTGATGGTAATATTGGTTGAATTATTTGCTGAATGGGAACAATGGAAGGTGATAGTATTTGTTCCATTTTCGGTGATTGCTTATTATTATCAGATGATTGCAACAATTGTGGCTGCTTTTCTACCTTTTTTAATGGTTCCAATCTTAACACTGTCGCATCACGTTCTATATTCTCCTGTGATCTTTGTGATGGTTCTTCTTTTTTCTCTTCTACCTTTATTATTGCTGCTTGATCTTCACTTCGTTCTGTTTCCACTAATGCTGTAGCTTTCTGTTCTCTTGCAGCTTTTTTTGCTGCTAACATAGCAGTATATTCATCGCAGAATTTTTCAGCTTTCTAAACAAAGAAATGACAAATAAAATTTATTAAAAAGATCTAATTCAATTTCTGTTTTAAATTATGTTCCGTTTATAAAAAAAAAAATTTGTTTCCGCTAATTCCGGAAGAAAATTCTGGAAGAAAACAAAACAGAATAATACCATTCTAGTTTAATATCTTTTTTCTTTTTTATGGTCAATTATCAAGCAAAATATTAAAACAGTATGATGTAATACCTGTTGTAATTCAGGTTTTGAATTAAACAATCCACAAGCATCCGCATATGCAATCAAACATCGTACCACATATACAAGTTGTTCATCAGTTTGGATAGCACTCATACGCATTGCTAATTATTTTAAATATTTTTATTTAACTAAAGTTTATCTTTTAATTTTTAAAGCGTTTTTTTAAGTTGTAAAGTCAGTAATTTTATTAATAAGTAAATTGAATTCGATTTAATAAACTGTGGAATTTTTTCCTTTGGAAAAATTATTCTCTAAATTAATTATTATATTTAAGAAATGGAGCAAAATACCTTTATTTAACTAAAATTTATGCTTTAATTTTAAAATTAACAATAATTTGTTGCAAATGAATCAGAAAAATTTGATTTGACAAATTTCATTAAAATTTTGATTTGATAAGTCTTAAACCTTTTTAACAAAATTAATTTCTAAATTAATTATAGTTTAAAAATTAATGCTTAAATTAATTATTACATTTAATAGGAGCTATATGCAAATTCTTTTTTCTGTTACGAGTTATTTATATGTTATAAAAGATAAATCTAGATATTTTTTTCTATCTTTTTCATGTCATTTTTTTATAACCAATTATAAATTAACTGATAATAAATGTAACTGATGATAAACAACTGATAATAAATAAAACTGATAATAAATTCATTTAATTTGTCAATTTTTTAAGTGATTTTTTTTTTGATTCAAATATTTGTTAAGTGAAAAGTAATTACTACTTTAATACGATTATTATTATTTTTTGAAATATTTATTTCATCCTTAAAAATATTTAAATTATTCGAAATCTCTTTTTTTTTTGGAAAAAATCAACTTTTCACTGTTATTTTTTACATCAAAGTATAGCAAAATTTAAACTCAATTAAGTTTATTTGTAAAAATATTTGATAATAATTAATATTTATCCATATATACATATATTAATTATTAGCTATCATTAGTATGCTAATCTGAAATTACTAACAAATTCATTGTATAATTTTCTAAAATTTTAAATTCAAAAAAAAAAAGAAAAAATAAATTGTACATCGTAATTTTTTAACCATATCAATAAGAAATAACGGTTTTCCGGATAGAATTTGTTGTAAAGCCATTTCGATAGCAACAATGCAGCCAGTACGACCAATACCTGCTGAACAATGTACAACCGTAGCACGATTTAATGATTGTCGTACAATTTTTAATATCCGAAATGGTGCTAATACACTTGATGGAACACCTTTGTCAGGCCTGTTAAAAAATTTATTTTAATTAAAAAAGAAAATAAAAATTATTTCAAATACTAAGGAAAAATATTGAAGAAAAAACACATCTAATAATATATTATTTGAATTGAATTTTATTAGATTTTTTTGTTTTTTTCTTATTTTTTAAAAAAAAATTTTTTTTTGAAATTAAATTTTGAATTTTTTTATCCTTTTTCTTTTACGAGTAATAAAAAAAAAAGAAAAAAGAAAATAATTGGTACCATTCTTTCCATCGTAAATGTTTAATAGTTAATCGAGTATTCCTATTTTCAGCTTGTAATACTGATATTACAAATGTTGTATCTTTGCTATTGTCAACTTCAGCACATTTTATTTGTACATCTATAAAATACGTTATGATTACGTTTACTCAATTCATCTATATTAATTAACTGAGATACATTCAATTAATGATATTAATTAAAATAATAAATTAAAAGGACTCATTTATCGTTTAATTAAATTTTTTTGCTTAATTAAAATTATTTCAATTTACCATTTCTAATATATATATATATATATATATTAAAAAATTAATGCAAAACTTATAAATAAAAAATAATTAATTAAGAAAAAAAAATAAAGAAGGGAAGAAATGGATATAATAATACTATCAGTATGTATTGTTTAATTTTATCTAAAGAAAATTATTTTGTAAAATTATCTGAAGATGGAATTAGCAAGAGTAAGAATGCTGCAATATAGTAAAATGACCATTATAACTGGACACAATAAGTTTTAGCTGTTATAATTGGCCATAATAAGAGTGAGATTTTTAGCGCTAATAAGCTATATGATGCATAATGATATGGTCATATACAATTGACCAATAAGATTAGTAATCGTAATCGACCAATAAGATTAGTAATCGTAAAAAAAAATAAAAAAGAAAAATAGTAATCTATTAAAAAAAAAAAAGAAAAAAATACACAATAACATCCATTAACATATTTAATTTGAGAATGAAATGAAAAATAGTTAAGTATTTCTCAATCAAAATAATCAAATAGAAATTAATAGAAAATTAATAGAAGTATTGATTTAATAAGATATAGTGAAAAGGAAAAAAAAGAATAATAAATATTGTTTATATTTCCATTTTTTAATTCTGAACAAAAATTAAATTAAAATATTTTGATATTAATCAATTAAATTCTTTTGATATAAATTAATTATGTCATTCAAATTCTTTTTTCCTATTCACTATATGTTATTAAATCAATACTTCTATTTAAATTGATTTTTTTTTTTT